GGGGGGGGGGGGTGTGGCAGGAGCGCCAGCCCAGGGCCTGAGGGGTACCGCTGGCCTCTGCTCCAGGTTTGTCCTGCCTGCGTTAACGGGGTTAGTAAACTGAGGTCGAAACGGGAAGACAAAGGAGAGAGGAGGCACCGAGCGGGCAAAAAACAAGGACCTGGTACCAGAAGGTTGAGTCACAAGACAAGGCCAAGGATTGTTATCAAGCTGGAGGCCAACTCCCCGAAAACCAAACAAAGATAGAAGCTGAGGAGTAGGTGACATTCTTCAGAATCCAGGTGGGCACTCGTGCTCTCTGAGTCATCGGACACTTAGGAGAAAAACAGCAACATTTCTCTGCGGAGCTTCTCCATTTAGACGGTCCCCCCATCTCGCCTGGAAGGGGGTTGTGATTCTCAGGAGACCTTCTGGAGGGGGTTACAATAAAAAGCCCTTCCTCAAAGCTCACCTAGAACAAGTAACTTTGGTTTATTTTTTTAAGAATATAGCTTAGAAAGGGAGGCTCCAAAGGAGGTAACATACAAGGAAGAGACGGTAACAACACCCGTAGGCAGTTACCTGCACCCGTCCTTGCGTAAACCTGGACATTTCTCTATCAAACGATGGAATGTTTTGTCTACGCAACTCAAAGCATTCTGGACTCGAAACGGTAAAACAGTGAGTTTGGATCGGACTTAGAGGGTCGGTGGAGAAAGGTATAGACCAGAGAAGAGAAGAAATAGGAGGGAGGCAGGGGGCAGGTGAAGCATTTGGTCTCAGCGGCCGGGGAGCCTCCTTGGCCTGTCATAAAAAGAGCCTTTCCTGCTACAACATCAAAGGGGTGAAAACTGCCCTCCCGTAAGGCTGGCTGTTTCCCGAGTTCCCTGGACGTCTGAGCCCACTCACCTAGTAAACTGGGGGGCTGAGGCTGTTTGCTGTGCAATCGAAAGAAGCGCTTCAGCTTCAACCCCACGCGCAGAGGCAGTGAGCCCATTACCTAGGCCACTGAGAACCAAAGCGCCGGCATCGAAGATAATCACCTACTTTTCCATTTCCTTCTGCTAGCTGGTTTTCACTGGAAAAAGAGCAAATGGTTTCTGGGAGTCTCCCATGCACGCCCCCCTTTGTGCTGAGGTTTTTAACTCGGCAGATGCACCCATCCATTCCTCATGCCTAAGAGCCACCTTGAACTACCCCCTGCCTCCCCAGGGGAAAGGCGCCCACGGTCACCACCAAAACGCAGGCGGCAGAGTGTGTCCGTCCCGCTGAGCTTCCGGATAAGCCCCTAGAAGCGCTCGGGGGCCACGGGCACCGCCCACGTGTTTCCTCCATCTGTCAACCATTCAGCACCTACGGAAAGCAAGCAATTTTCATCGAAATGGGTGTAGCTCGGGCTGTCCCTAGAAGAAGGTGAGGCCCTCAGGAAATAACTTTGCAAAAGGTCCCCTATTGCCAACATTTGAATCCAGGTGAAAAACCAAGTTACATAATAAATAGTTGTGGCAACTCTAAAGAATTAAAGGTCAGCGCGAAATCTGTGCGGGTGAGGAGGGGCAGGTAAGGAAGTAACAAAGGGCCCTAGTTTCCAGAGAATGTTCTCAGAAACACAAATGCCTCCCTCCTCCCCCCGCCCTGTCCTTTTCAACGTCCCTCGACCGCGCCTGTGATAAGGAGATGGGATTTGGTTTATTTTTTGTTTTTTCTTTTTAGTATATAGGGGAACCACCTCCAGCATCCCACGAGCAGCTGCCTTAGTCCCATGGGGCAGGGGACCGAAACAATCATCCGACTTAACATCCGAGAATAGCATTCCCCACTATGTTTTGCAGCTGAAATGCCAGTTGGCCTTTGTTTTACAAATGCTCCTGTAGTTTTATCTTTATTTCTGATACAGTGGAGATGTAACGATTTTTCTTTTTTAAAGCTTTCGAACATAAGAGCAAAGCTTTCCAGTGACAAAGGGTTGGCAGGGGTGATGTGCTTGCCGGAACATTTTGGGAGATGTTTGCCCATTTTCTCGACAACTAATTAGCAGAGCTGTATCTCTGTGAGACACTGTTGTGTCTTAATAGTAGCTAAAACTCTGGTAGTATCCGAGGAATGGTAACAATTTAAATTCAGGTCAATGTAGTATTGAGTTCCTACTCTGTGCTTAACACCCACTAAGTGCTGCAAGATACAAAAGAAATACAAGAAACAGGTTTGGCCTATTTCAATGTTATCAGAGTGAAAGGGCAGAAAAAAAGAACTGTGCAAGAAGCATGTAATTAAATACCAACATGTGTCATGCCAAAGACATGGTCTTGTTTTGATCACTGAAGGGAAAAATAAACTGAAACTCAGTAAAAAAAAAAAAGGCAAACTCTACCTTCCTTGGAAATAGTATGGCACAGTGGAAAAAACACAACCACACCAACCCAGGTAATCAGTGGGGTGGCAAATGCCTTAGCCAGATGGTCCTTACACAGACCTAGGCTTGAATCTCCACTCCTCTGATGATTAGTTTTGTGACCGTGGACAAGTTTTTAACCTCTTTGAGCTTCTAATTTTGAATGAAGATGATAATATGCTGTAATTTATTTATTTAGAAATCTCAATGAGGTGCGGTGTAAGCATGAAGTGTTTTCAGTTTTGTCCAGTTGCTGCTTTTAACACTGTTTTGGGAAAGTTTTCCTTTCTTAATTGAGAATGGAACCCATATAATTTCACATGCCCATGATAAAAACAATATTGAGACCAGGAACCAGTTCCTGTCCTTGTGTTAGAGGAGACTGAGATCATGCAAAAGAACTTGGCTGTTTGATCTAGAAAACAATTGTTCTGAAAGATAAGGCTAAATAGCTTACCGATCAAGACCAGCAACTTGCTCAACAAGATTCCAAGACTCTAGCCTTGCTTTGCACTTATTTTAAGCTATTATGACACTCACTGCTCAGTGTCACCCACCTGGCCCCTCCTACTGCCTTGCATCACCCCCTCAGCATCGCCAGCCCAGGTCCTAATTCCCTTTCCCAACCGAGACGGTCAAGGTGGTTTCTCCCTCATCGCAGCAGGTCTCATGAACTTCTCTTGGGTGGACCAAAAGGTTTTTCTGGTGGTTCTTAAAGACAATAATGGTTGACACCTCCCATAGGAATATCTTCAGCATGTCTCATAATATTCTGGTGACTCTAAAATTAAAACACAAGCCTACCTGGACTGGCTCACAAAGTTCAGTTCACATCTTCAAAGCACCGCCCAGCTTTGCCTCGCCCGACGTAGGGCTCAAGGGACTTGGGATTGGGAGGTAGGGAGGCCTTCTCTTTCAATGGAGGTGAGGCAGAGGGGGGAGGGGACATGTGGTGGGAGATCACTACTCCCCTTGCTAGTCAGCGGCGTGGAGAGGTTCTTTCTCTCCTGGTTGCTCTGTCCCTCTGTCCACCAGCACGGTGCCCCGTGTGCATGGTGCCCATGGCTTTCTCTGGGCGCAGTCCGCGTCACTCTGCCCCTCCACTGAGGCCCCACTCAAAGAGGATAATCCTCTCCGGCAGCTCCTGCCTCCAAAATCCTTTCTCGGTGCCGTGTTGCCCTGTTCCATTCCCTCTTCTGAACTTTCTGCTCCTTCACACGGAGCCACAGGAGCCACTGAGAAAAATGAGAATAGAATAGAACATGGTAGTGAGAACTGAACACACTCCTAGAATATGTGGCCCACAGGCAACAACCAGCAATCTTTCCTCCCTATTATATGCAATGCACCGTGTTAGTGATGGTACCTTTCCAAAAAAAATGAAATAGGAGCCAGGCCGGCGTGGCTCAGCAGTGGAGCATAGACCTAGGATCCAGGAGATCGGGGTTCGAGTACCGGTCAGGGCACATGCCGGGGTTGGGGGCTCGATCCCTAGCAGGGGGCTTGCAGGAGGCAGCTGATCGATGCCTCTCTCATCATTGATGTTTCTCTTGCTCTCTCTCTCCTTTCCTCTCTCTGAAATCAATAAAGACATATTTGGGGGGAAAAATATTTTAAAAAAATGAAATAGGATGATATTGGATAAATTTACCATTTTTAAGTATATAAGAAAAGGTTTACACACATTTGTACTCTGAAACCAAAATCAAACCTACTTTGATTTCATCAAACTGCAAACTAATGCAAATTTACCATCATGAATTTTAAAATTCTTGTCCAGACCAATAAGGAAGACAAATTTGATACCAGAGTCACACTCTGTCTTGACTTTTGTTGCTGTTGTTGCTTCTTAATAAATAATCTTTAATTTGGTGTCTTAAAAATAGATGCTTCATTGCTGCTGTGCTTAGGCTTTACTCAAGGTGTGAAATTAGTTATGTGCCAATGTGAAGAGGGGATGGTTCTCTTAATAACATTTTCCAGACACGTTTTAGAGACTATTGCTCTTTGGAGGGGATCCAAAAGAGCAGAGTGAGAAATATTTATAGCATATGAGGGTAATAAAAAATGTAATTATGAATAAATAATACATTAAACTGGTAGGACATAGTTTACATTAGATCACAGGGATGAATATCAAAAATACAGGCAATATTTTTGAAAAAAACAACCAGCAGTGAAAAATTTATTTATAATATAAACCAGACACTCCAAAATAATTTGTGGTTGACTTAATTCTTACCGTTCATCCTATATTCTTTTGAATAAGCTGAAGGAAGGCACCCGAGTAACTACCTCAGCTGGTTCTGATTTTGATTCTGAATTTTCAGTGCAATGAAAACTCGAGTCTATATAACCAAAAGAGATGGCATGTCAGTTTTAGAAGTTTAGATCCCTCCACCCGAATGTAGATACCTATTAAAAAGAAATGCATTACAATAAATAAGTGTATTTCCAAATTGTCTCATTATTTCTGGGCAAACAAGAATTGCATATAAATTCTGAATAGAGGAATATCACATTGCATCTTATGTGTTCTGCAACATGCACTCACAGAAAATCATTACAGGAACAAAACCAGCTGCATGTAATAGAAAGCAAATGATTTACAATGTTACTATGAGAAACTACTTTATTTCGTATTATCATAAAAAGAGCAGAACTGAATATTTGCATGACAAACAGAAGAATCCAGGAAATTCCAAATGCAACTCAGTGTTGTTTTTTTAAATAGGTATTAATGCTGGAAGGTGAGTTAAAAGCCTTCCCCTCTAGAGAATATTAGCAATTATAATTTGCAGTCATTATGGGTCTAACAGCTGAGAGCAAAACATCGACAAACATGAAGGTGGATGTCGAAAGAAAGACTTGGAGCAACATGTGCTTCTGTCGCCTGACAGAGCTACATCTAGTGATTTTGAACACGTTATTTCATTTAAGTTGAGAAGTCGAATGCATTTTGCTTCTAAAGGAAGCTTGACTCTGAAATTTGAACTGCAGCATGGCTGGTCCCTGGTCCTAGATCCATGCACAACCAATCTCCCCAGTCCACACAGCGGATCACGGAGGCCTACCAGTGGTTTCTTAGTCATTTGCACACCTTTTGGGGGAAGATGAAATTCCCAAAGGGTTTTCCGGTGCCTCTCCGGCGACAGGAGGCTCAGGGGGGTTGCCTCAGACCTGCTCTGCCTGGAATCCCCTGACCTGCTGCTCTACCGCTCCTGTTGCTGCTCCCGCCAGGCCAGCGTGGCTCACGGCGCTGGGGAGCCCGAAGACCTTGCTCGCTTTTAAGGTCCCTCCTGGGAGACAAGATACAAGTGATCACTGCTCTTGGGGGCCCAAATCAAGCTGGAGGCCCTGTGAACAATTTGCACAATTCCCCTGCTCAACCAGGAGGCAGGGAGAAGAAAGGCCTTGAGGACAATCCGAAGCACCCAACAAGCTTGACGTTCACCCATCTCCGTTTCATTGCCTTCTCCCTGGCCAGTGAGACCTTGGTCAAGTCCGGCTCTTTATCAGTTGCATTCCTCCCCAATTCTTTATTCATTGACTAGTCGTTGGCTTTTGTTCCCTTTCCCCCTACCATCTATCTTGAAGTGGCAAAGCTGAGCCGGCCCGGGCGGGAAGCCTGGCTCCCCAGCCGCTGCGGAAGCAGGAGGCAGGCAGAGGGCACGGGCGCTCCGGCCGTGGGAACCACAGGGTGCTGCCCACCCGGCCGCCAGCCTTGCGGGCACAGAGGGCTCTAGGTTTTTCATTCCGCAGTCAACTTAAAAATCATCTTTCTCTTTTTGCCTTTTTAAATTAAATTTATTCGGGTGACGTTGGTCAGTATCATTATATAAGCTTCAAGTGTACAACTCTATAGTATTTCATCTGCGCGTCTCACCGTGTGCTCACCGCCCAAAGCCTGGTCTCTTGCAGTCCCCATACATCTGCCACCGTTTACCCTTTGCAACCCCCTCCTGCCTCCCCCCCGCATGAAAGATCATCTCTTGCTGAATGCAGTATATTCTGTCTGTTCTGCAACCATCGGTTTTGACCGATCACATGTTTACCTATTTAGATATCAAGTTCTTATTTATCCTCATGTTATCTTATAAAGTTTCATTGGATTTGACATAGTTTGAATGATGATAAACTAGAATTTTCTTTTAAATCTGTTCAGCTCACCACTTTAAGCAACCACTGATGCTAGAGGAAAAAGGGTGAATGGTAAGAGATATACATTTAATGGATAGAAGCTTAAGAGCCATGATGAAATTTCATATTTGTAAAATTCTTTACAGTTTACAAAATGCTTTTCCATATGTTGTGTTATACTCGCCAGCAAATGTCTAATAAACGTGATTGGCAGGTTGAGGTGCCATGGGAGCCTTGGACTCCTGAATGGAAGCCGGACATTTTCCACGAGAGACAGATGACAGTCCAGTGATGTCAGAGGGGACTTTTCAGTGTATCCACTGAAATGCACTCCAGTCCTTTCGCATGTGGTTTATGGATCCGAGTGCCGCCGCTCAGGCTGCTGCTTCTGTGAGTGTGTCGTGAGTTGCAAAACAGATCAATTGTCTTTTGCTCGTCTCCGCGCTTTCACTAAAGCCGTGTAAGGCTCTGGGATTGCGTCGAGGATGCTCGGATCATGCTTAAAGCCAGTTGAAGTATCAGAGTCGTTGAAAGGAGAGGAAGGATTTGGTTTCCAGGTTTCCTGCCTCATCCCGGTGCAAGCAATGCCCAAGAGGAGAGTCCACCTCACAACCTTCCTTCAGTCTTTGTGATGGGACAGGAAAAATACAATGGTAATGTTGGTGTTGGCTGTAGCTTAATCTCTTTCAAATCAAATGAAATTATGATGTTAAAGAAATGAGATGAGCAACAGCAAATGTTAGCTATTATTTAATCAGTTAAAACAGATAGCATGCTTAAAATTAGAGTGGCGCATGGGAGTTAGAAAACGCTGATTAGTCACCAAATGTTTATGTTGACAGGTATACCAAAGGAGGTCATACTTAAAAAAAAAATTCACCATAATTTCCTTCTAGATGGAAATCTAGGATATTAAAACATTATCTGGTGGATGACTTACGGCTTAAGTTTCTCTTTTTAAATTTTATTTTGTATTTATTACTTAAGTTTCTAACAGCTACTTGTAGAGATAGACGGTTTGTAATTTAGGGAGTTCCTCTTTTATTCTGCTACTCAAGAAGCTAATTCTCCTAAAGTTGTTAAACTGATACTTTAAAAAGCCATTATTCAATTTTAAAGTAAGGTTTGGAATATCATTGAGTTAGAAAATTTTGCAATCTCTTGATTCCCGGAGTGCCGAATGCACCAGACTTCGCTTTGACAAGGCCAGTCTGTTCCATGCCTCTCCAATGTCCAAGTGTACACAGAAAAGGCAAACTAAACCCCTCGAAATTACAAAGGTGACTTAGGCAAAACTTTAACTTAGAAGTTCATACAATCAATGCACCTCATACTTTGGACACAAGTGTTCGATAAACTTCCTTCATTTTTCTTAAGACCTCAGGGTATGAGAGCCCAGTTACAGAGTCTGCACCTTCTCCTGCAGAAAAGGCCTGATGAACCACAGCACTGCACAGTTGCTCGTGGATGGGAGTCTACTGGGAAGGCCTCCTGGATAAAGAGATCCAAGTTGAGCTACAGGAGGAGTGGAGATGTCGTTGTTTTACCGAGGGAGAAGTTAAGTGCTCAAGGTCATGGATGCCTTTAGTTGGCTGCGCCGGAGGATTTCTCAGCTCAGTGCTCCTCCCGCTATGCTACTTGACTTCCTGGAAGCAGGTATTTCCTTTAGGTCTGCGGTGCCGGGACAAGTGCCACGCTTAATCTTGGCTGTGTAGGTGACTGGTGATTATTCCAATAACTGGAAAATGATTGTGATACAGATTCTCAAGGGCCATTCCCTGTAGCATAACCTACCAGTGCCCCGAAGGTGACCTAATCTAGACCATGTAAAAGATAAGCACCCGGTTCTAAGCCAAATATAGTTTTATCATCAAATATTCACATGGACTAAATAAAACATTGTTCAGGCTAGTGGAAACTGCTTTGCAGAAATGGTTTCCAATCTGACCTTGGAACAAAAAGAGTTGGACCTGCCCTTCAAAATGCCAATCCTCCCCCCAGCCCCGGGCTTTATAGCAAACACAAACTATAACGAATACTTTTAAAGTCCTTTCCTTTGTTGAGCACAGATTAAGTATAAAGAGAGAGAACACTAGATTCCAAGTAGGGAGAAAAAAACACCACCACCAAATGTTTCTGCCAGCTGCTCACCAGTTTAATGCTCTCCAAATGATCCTATACATTCGTTCCAGAAATATTACAATTCCAATCCTTCATTATTTGTTTAAAAAATTATCCATCTTGGGTTTTAACTGAATATGAAAAATATTAACAGATGTTTACAAAGTATAAGAATGATAAGTGTATGTATTCTGATAAACATTTCTTTCAGCAATAACCAAAATTATCCAGTCCTTGTTTGCCTCCACATCAATCCATACGAGTAGCAAGCAATGTTCTAGAGGATTTCAGAAAGACTCAGATGAGGAGGAGATTGAAACTTGAAGGTAAATGCCTAAGTATTCACAAAACCTTTCTCCAGTAACATAATCTCTGCTTTTAGTAAGTCTCTCTGTATAAATTTACTGTATTACATATAGAAACAAATCATCTCTCTCTATATTAATGCATTATATATTATTATACATTGCATAAATATAAGGCATTTATTATACAATATACATATATGCAAAATTTATAAATTATATAGTATATGTTATATGTGTAATATATATGTTAAATACAATGCCATATACACGTAAGAAGAACATTGTGAATTCTGAAGGTAGAAGGGGCCTCAGAGGCCAAAAAGATTGTGACTTGTCAGGATTAGCAATCAGGCCTGATGCTCAGGCCTGTGGGCTTGGCAGACCCTCATTCACAGACTCCCAGTCATTTCATTGTCAGTTGTCAAAAAGAGGCATGACAAAAAAAAGGATCTGCCCACAGCACTGTTTATGTTCGTGAAACCTGAAAACAACTTAAACATCCTTTGGAAGGAGGAAAGGTCAAACGGAGCTCACTCCTCTAACTCGGAACCATGTAACAGAGTAAATCAGTTTGCTTCCTCTGCATTAACACGTGTTGACTTTGTTGAGAAAACAAAAGTTGCACAACGTCATAGTGCGATTCCATAAAGAGGAAATTAAAAGACATCTACACAAAAAACTCTTACGTGCAAAAATGTTTTCTATTCCATAAATTCTTACCCTTCTCAACATGTCTTCATAGTTTGAGAAAGCTACAGATAATATGAATAGAAGTTATATTTATTACCACACGTGGGAAGTTTGAGGCTTTTCAAAACCACTTGCACTTACACGTGATTTCTTCCTGGTCGTGAGCCATTAGTGTCCATTTCCTCACACAGGACCTATTAATAAGAGATCTATTTACTTCCTTGCTGTGATGATCATTTTCATTTGGGAGAAAGAGCTCTCAGGATGTCTTAAGGATTTTTTTTTCTTCTGAATTATAAGGTCCTTTATTAATAACTTACATAAAAAAGGGATCTGCTTTAGTATAGTGACCAAATTCAATCAGGTAATTATGATGCAGTTTGCTTCTTTGTGAGGTGGATATGCTACTTAGAATTATTAAATGTTAGAGAATGCTTTAGTGGTCTTATTATAGGCTCTTATTTTACAGATGAAGAAACAGGGGTCCAAAGAAGGAAAATTACTTCCCTAAAGATATGTAGCTAGTAAAACAGGCAGTCTTGGGATTAAGTCCCAGGCTGCTGACCAGAGCTCTTTCTGGTGCCCCACGTCACACCGCTCACGCATCACAGTGTCCGCATGCTGCCCAGTCCCGCAAGACAAATCAATCAGCCCAGTGATGAAAATAAGATGATCACCAACCCCGGCCAAATACTAGTTTATTGCAATTATAATTTCAAATCAAGTTGCCAAATACTTTTTTAACTTTTTAACTGGTTATGTGGAGATTAATCTATGTACGTACCTCCAACATAACTCTGGGGTTTTGCCACATGTATACATGTATAGATTTTATACATATTTGAGTTGCATGTATATTGAAGTGTGTGTGCGTCTGAAGTATGAAGATTGTAATGATACTTTGGGAAAGCTTCTCGTTGCCCTTATGTCTCTGAATCTCCAATTGGCAAATAATTAGTATTGTATATGGGAGCGTTCACACTTGACCCATTGGGCTATTTAAACACTTGAGAGCTTCATGATTGTCCTACAATAGATTTCCAAGAGGCAGTTTTGGAGATGCTGATATCCAAAAGGAAAAGTTCTTTCACAGTGCTTGGAATAAGTGTCCTTATGGGATAGTAAAACTAAACAATTTTGGCTCTCGCCAGGTTTTAGGAAAGCTCGAGAGGAGTTTAGGTGTTATAGAAGAGATGTAACTCCAGTTGTCCAGCTCCAGCCTTCGAGCACTCCCTACGTGGTGCTGCAGTGTTCCTGCGCTGCTGTGAACTGCCCCGGCCCCCCCCAGATGGCTGTATTTCAGAGATGAGTGCATGAGACCTGCAAACAGGCTTGTCATCATCAATAAAGCTAACCAACCACCTTGAGCTCTTTAGAAACCCACGTCCACTCTTAGAACTAACCGCCTATCATTTAATTACAACCTTTAATAGAGACGCGAAGACTTGTAAAATGCAATTTATAAAAATCCTCAACCTAACTAAATTTGTTTCCATGATGCTTACTCTGTTTTTGTAAGTTTCAGGTATCAAGTGATTTCTCTCTGGGGATCCTGGTTGAAATTCCGCGGCTGACTATTCCGGCGCACCCTCTAAAACTTAAAAATTCCTGGAGAATATTTTTCATTAAAGTTGACAACTGCCCACTCTGGGGCCCAGATGCTGTGCGCACAGTGGATGGGTTGGGTCTGTTCTCCCTGCTCGGCCTTTCCACGCACGGTCTCTCGCAGACGCGAAATCCTCTTTCTGTTCACTTTGCAGCGCACTTTCATCGGAATGGCCTAGACAGGTCCTTTCACGTCTAGCCCAGGGTTAGGAAGGTGCACCCCAAGCTCGGGTTCCTGCGGACCTCGGCGGTGAGTCATCCGCCTTTAGAGCGCCCGCCGCCTGTGGGGCGCACACCAGCCGCCGTGCGAGCAGCACTAAGAAAGTGGGGTTCCCAGTGAGAGGGAGGGTACCTACAGGCCCGAGCAGGTGCCGGTGGGTCCCGGGAAGGATGCGCCGCGCCCTGGGTGGTCTTGGAGGCCCCGGGTCAAGGGAATATCTTCCTTCCATAAGATTCAAATAACGCATTTTACCCCCCCCCCAAGGTTTTTAAACTCGGCGGCTTTTCTGTCACTAGCACAGGGCGGGGCGAAAGTGGGTTCACAGCTGTGAGGACACAAAACAGAGAGGTCATTTTTGCATTAATATTTATTGATTGTGTTATTTTCCGTATGAACCTGCCTCGGCCCCACCCTGTACGCTGGGCCCTGACACACCTCCAATTAAAAAAAACATTTAACGACGCGACCCTTGGTTTTCAGAGTTTTAAGTGCCGCAGCTAGTAACCTGCAAACATGGGGATGGTAAAAAAAAAAAAAAAAAAAAGGAAAACAATCTTTTCCTCAAATGGAAAAGTTCTGACCCGCGCCTGACAGTCATCAGCACCGCACCTTACACTTTCCACGGCCACGTTAAGCTGGGAAAACGCATCCCCCGCCCCAGGGCTTCACTCAGGACTCGGCGAGGAGAGAGGGGAGCGCTGCGGGTCGGGAGCCGAGCCCCCCGCCGGCACCCCCTGGGACCCCGAGGGACCCCGAGGCGGGGGCAGGCGGCAGGGCCTGGGCTTCCCTGGGGAAGAGACGAGAGCGGCGGCACCGAGCGTCCTGAAGCGCAGGGACCGAGGGGCGAGGAGATGGAGTCAGCGCCAGGCTCCGCGGGGCGTCAGGTCTCGGGTCCTTCTCGCGGCCCCGCAACAGCTGCACCAGTTCACGGACGAGGGGGCCCCCGCCGCCCGCTCGGGAGGCCAAG